CATCATCCAATGACCGCACTGATTATCATGGTGATGTCATTGGTGACACGGTGCCGTCATAAATCGTCGTGGTGGTATCGCCCAATGATGTCACTGCCCACAATTGTGATGTCACTGCTATGACGTCATTTATTTCCCTGTGACGGCACTGGTTGCCATGGCAACATCACCCTATGGCATCAGTGGTTGCCATGGTGATGTCACCCCTGTGACATCATTTGTTACCCCAGTTGCCACGATAATGTCGCACTATGACATCACTGGTTGCTATGGTGATACACCCACCATGACGTCAACATTGCCCTGTGATGTCATTGGTTACTCGAGTGATATCACCTAATGATGTCACTGGCTGCTATGGCGACATCGCCCTATGATGTCATTGATCCCTGTGGCGACATCGTCCTATGATGTCATGGGTTGCCATGGTGACACCATCCCTGTGATTTCACTGGTGACCCTATGACATCACCAATGGAGTCAGTGATGTCACCCCTTGGCATCACCTATTGCTACATTGACGCCACCCTATGATGTCACCGGTTGCCATGGAGACCGCCCCATTGCTCTGGCAATGTCACCTTGTGGTGTCACCGGTTACCATGGTGATGTAGCCACTGTGACGTCATCGATATCCCCTATGACGTCATTCATCTAATGGGCGATAGTGCCTGATGATGTCACCGGTTGCCATGAAGACCACCCCCGTTGCCGCGGCGACATCACTGTGACCCCTCCCCGGTTGCCATGGAGACGCCCCTCCCCCCTCCACCATATCCCCCCGCCCCTCCCCCACCCCAGAGCTTCTATTTTTATTCCCGGGGGGGCCGCGGGGGGAGGGGAGGAGTGGGGGAGGGGCGGGCGGGACCCCCCACCGTGAGGGGGGAGGGACGGGGGTTGGGGGAGGGGCGGGGGGAGGGGCGGCCCCGAGGGCGTTTTTAATTAAAAAAAAAGAAAAAAAAATCCGGAAAAAAACCTAAAATTCGGAACCCTAAAGTGATGGAGAGCTGTGTGCGCGTGCGCTGGAGGCGGGGCTGGGAATGGCGAGATCCCATTGGCTGAGAGGAGGGGGGGTGAGGGGACTGGGATAAACTGGGGGGGACTGGGATGGACTGGGATTGAACTGGGATAAACTGGGAGGGACTGTGGGAGACTGGGATTGAACTGGACGGGGACATGGATTGAACTGGGGCGAACTGGGATAAACTGGAAAGGGCCGTTTTTCCGTGAAATCAGCCCAAAATGAGGCGTTTCCAGCCAAGGGGCGGTGAATTCCCTCTGGGCGATGGGAGGGGCGGCGCTGAGGGGACGGAAAGGGCAGGAAGAGCCTGAGGTGGGAGACCCCCAAAGCCCCGTCCCTCACCGCGGGAGCAGCCGGGACGCGGCGCTGGTGGAAAATGCTGGTTTTGATGGTGAAAAATGCTGGGCTTGGTGGTGGAAAATGCCGTTTTTCCGTGAAACCCGCCCAAAACGAGGCGTTTCCCGCCGAGGGGCGGTGAATCCCCTCAGGGCGGTGGGAGGGGCGGCGCTGAGGGGACGGAAAGGGCGGGAAGCGGAGGCGCACGGGACGCCAGGGGGCGCTGCGTCAACCAGCCAATCAGCGGCGGCGCTGCGGCGGAGAGGGCGGGGCTTGCGACAGCGGGAAGATGGCGGCGGGCAACGCCGGCACCGGGCCGGGAGCGGGGCCCGGCGGAGGCCCCGGGGCCCGCAGGGGCAGCGCGAGCCGGGACGCGGAGGCCGAGGTTTGGTGCCGGCGGGTGCGGGAGCTGGTGAGCGCGGTTCCCGCCAACCGGCTCTGCTTCGAATGCGGCCAGCGCGGCGTCACCTACGTGGACATCAGCGTGGGCAGCTTCGTGTGCACCGGCTGCTCCGGGGCGCTGTGAGCGGGGCGGGGCCGGGGCGTGAGGGCGGGCCCGTGGGAGGAGCGGGGGCGGGACTAATTCACACCTGAGCGCGGTGGGCGGGGCAGCGCTTCGTCAAGGTGTCATTGATTGCCTGTTCCCTTTGTGGGCGGGGCTCGGCGGGAGGGGGCGTGACCGCGGCACGTGGCTTCACACGCTGCGCTATTCGGGCACCTCTTTTTAGGGAGAAAAAGCTCATTTTTGGGTGTTTACGGGCGCAGGGGGGGCGCTGACCCCGCGAATCCCCCCGCAGGCGGGGACTGAACCCCCCACACCGCGTCAAGTCCATCTCCATGACCACGTTCAGCGAGGCCGAGGTGCTGTTCCTGCAGGTGCACGGTAATGAGGTAAGGGGATGGCTGCTGGGAGGGCTCTGCCGTGTCCATCCCACCCTGTCCCCGTCCCCACGGACCCTCCCCGGCCCCCCAGGCCTGCAGGAGGGTCTGGCTTGGCACCTTCGACCCCCGGACGTCGCTGCTCCCCGACTCCCGCGACCCCCAGAAGGTGAAGGAGTTCCTGCAGGAGAAATACGAGAAGAAGCGATGGTAGGAGAGGGGCTGGGGACGTTTTTACGGGGGGCAGCATGGGGTGGGGACCCCTGAGATGATGTGTTCCCCTCCCATGGCAGGTACGTGCCACCAGAACAAGTGAAAGAACAAGTGAAGCCCCCCCAAAGCACCTCAGCAGAGCCCGGCCCCCCCCAGCTCCTCCACGGGGACACAGGGACGCTGCCACAGGTGGGACTGGGCCCCTCCTGGGGGTGCCGAGGTGGGAACAGCCCCCCCTGACCCTGTGGTGCCCCCCCAGCCTCACCCAGCTGCCCGAAAAGCCAGCACCGACCTCCTGGCTGACATCGGGGGGGACCCCTTCGCCAGCCCAGCCCCTGCCCCCGCCTTCGCTGCCTTCCCTGGTGAGCTCGGGGTCTGGGGGACTCGGGGAGGGGAGCACGGGGGTCTCCAGTGACCTGGTAACCCCTGAGTGACCCCAGCTTTGTCCCCAGGCCCTGCCCCAGCCCGGTCTGCCTTCCCTGCTTTTGATGCCTTTGGAACCAGCCCTGGAGCACCCATGTTTGGGGGGGCTGTGCCCCCCTTCCACATCCCCCCCAGCACCACAGGTACCCCAAGACCCCCTGGGACTCTTGGAGAGGGACCAGGGAGGGGTTTGGTGCCCCCCCCTCGGTGTTTGGGACACCTGGAATTGATGGGCAAGGGGGGGATTCGGGTCTCCTCATCCCTTGGGGTGCTGGGGAGGGGGCTTGGGGTCCCACCATCCCTCCACGGTGACACCTGTGCCCACCCCCCAGGCTACACCAACCCCTTCACAGCTCCTGTGGCCCTCAGACCCTCCACGAACCCCTTCGAGATCAACGGGCCTGGTGAGTGACCCCCTGAGCCCCCCCAATTCCCTGAGCCCATCATTCCCTGACCAGGGTGGGGTCTGCACCCCCCTGACCCCCCATTCTTGATCAGGGTGGGGTCTGGGACCCCCCTGACCCCCAATTCCCTGACCAGGGTGGGGTGTGGGGGTCCCAATCCTCTGTCCCCTCTCTCAGGTGCGGCTTTCACCTTGCCCCCTGTTCCTGGGGGCTTCCCCAGTCCCTTCCAGGCCGATGGTAAGAGGCGGGCAGGTTAAATATTGTTGAATTTTATATATTTATAAACTGTCCACCCTCCCACTGACCCCTCTCCATTTTCCCCCCTCAGGTTTGCCTTCCTCTGGGTTCAGCGTTGCCAAAGCTTCCACCAACCCCTTCGTGGTGAGCACCGGGGGGTTGCGGGGGGGTCCGGGCCCCCTTTCCCTGCCGCTGACACCCCCTGTGCCCCCCCAGACCGTCCCGGCCCCGGTGGCACCGTTCGGGATCCGGCACCGGGCCACCAACCCCTTCCTGTGACCACAGCTGCTCCTGGGGGCCCCGCAGGGCACGGCCCCTCCGCCGGGACCAGGTTTTATTTTTGTTCCGAGAGATTTATCGCGATATCTAATATATATTCGGTAAAAACGGCTCCGATCCGTCCCGCTGCGTTGCCGCGCCGAGACCTCCCCTCACGGCTGTGCCCTCGGTAAAGATGGCGGCCTCCTCTCAGGGCTCTGCCCTCGGTAAAGATGGCGGCCATGGGTGAGGCCTCCCATCGCGGCTTTGCCCTTATTAAAGAGGGTGCCCCTATAGCCCCCTATCCGCCCTCAGTCAAGATGGCGGCCCGGGCCTCACCCCCTGAAGGGGCGGCCATGGCAGCCTGCCCTCAACAAAGATGGCGCCAAGGGAAGTTACCGGGGGTGACGGGGGGGAACGGGCATTAACGAAGGCACCGGAGGGGGATGGGGGTGCGGGAGGGGAATTAACGGAGGCACCGGGGGGGTACGGACGCCCCCACTTCCCCCCGCGGGGCCCGGGCCCGGCTCGGCTCCTCCCGCACCTGCTGGGGAAGGGCGGAATTAGCGGCGGAGCTTTGGGGACGGGGGGGAACACAAGGGGCGGCACAGCACAGCTTGAGGGGGGCGGGGGGGCGTCCCCTTTTGGGCACAGAAATGGCGAAAACGGACAAAAAGCTGAGCGGTGGCAGCAGGAGAGGGGCAGGACTGAACGCCCCCGCCCCGGGGTTTGGTCCCAGCCGGTGATCGGTGTCACAAAGGGACAGGGATGTACCAAGTCTGATTTTGAGGGGGATATCCACACTCAAAAACAAAATTATTACTGTTATAATAATTAGAGCGACAGCCCTATAATAGTTAAATATAATAATTTTAATAATAATTAATTACAATAAATTTTGGTCATCCTTATTTTAGTGTTCCTCCGCCATAATTAAGTTATAATTAACTGTAATAATTAACTTATTATGTTCACAGTCCTGTATAACAACTCATTATAATACCTCATTATTATAATAGTGACAATTTATTATAATAATAACTCATTATAATAATAAAACTCATGATGATAACTCATAATTAATTATAATATGAATAATTAAGATCACACCCCCAGGGGGGCACGGGGTGTTCAGCCCCCCCCCCCTTCCCTGCCTCAGTTTCCCCAGCGTTAAGGCACAAGACAAAGGGGGGGGGACGAGAAAAGGTGCAAAGATCGGAACCCCCCTTGGGGTTTGGGGGTTCCCCTGGGTCCAGGGGGGCTCCCCCAAGTTCTGGGGCATTCCCCAGGTTTTTGGGGGGTCCCTCAGCAGCCAAAGAGCGCGCGGTGCGCGGCCAGGAGCAGCGCCATGAGGAGGCCGTAGAAGAGGGCGAAGAGCAGCCCGGGGGGGGGGCGCCGGGGGTGGGGGGGCTTCACCTGGGGGGGGGGACCTCGCATCAGCCCTGGGAGGGTGTGGGACCCCCCCCCCTAAATCAATCCCACCAGGACTCCCCCCAAATCAATCCCACTCGCCAGAATGGGATGCCCCACCAGAACGGGACCCCCCCCCAAATCAATCCCACCCCCCCAGCTCGGTACCTCAGAGGGCGGCGGCGTCCGGCGGGGGCTGGGGGGGCTCTGGGGGGGTAAAAGGAGGAGTCAGGGGGGGTTTGGGGGTCATTTTTGGGGTTGGGGGTAAAAAATGAGGTTTCGGAGGTGATGGTTGCAGGGTCAGGGGGTCAAAAAGGGGGTTTGGGGGTGTTCATTTGGGGTTAGGGGTAAAAAAGGGGATTTGGGGGCTGTTTTGGGGCTGTTTTAGGGCATTTTTGGGGCTGTTTTGGGGTTATTTTGGGGTGTTTTAGGTCTGTCACTCACCGCCCAGGGCCACAGCCACGCAGGGCAGTTTTGGGGCTGTTTTGGGGTTATTTTGGGGTGTTTTAGGTCTGTCACTCACCGCCCAGGGCCGCAGCCGCGCCGCCACGCGCCCCAGCAGCTCCAGGTCCCCCCCCAGCTCCTCCGGCAGCCGCAGCTGCAGCAGCGCCTCAAGGCTCTGCGGGGTGGGGGGCACAGCAGGGACCCCCCGAGCGAGTCAGGGGGGCACAGAGCCCCAGACCCGCCCAGAATACCCGGGGAGGGGATGGGGGCGTTACCTGGCGCAGCTCAGCCATCAGCTGGTCGGGGTCCGGGGGGGCTGCGGGGACATTCGAGGGGTCAGGGGGCACTGGGGAGGGGTCACAGGGGAGTTTTTGGGGCCAGGGACTGGGGAGGGGACACTTTGGGGACGCTGTCATACCTGGCTTGGTGGCACTGTATGAGGAGGAAGAGGAGGATGAGGAAGGGCTGAGGCAGGCGCTGGGTTTTGGGGGTCCGGGGGCTCCATCAGGGTCCTGGGGGGGTCTCCGGGGGGGGGTCCTGGTGGGGTAAGAGCAGCCAGTGCCCGGCCCGTGTCCTACCCCATTCCCGATCCCATCCCAGCGCCCCAAATCCCAGTCCCCATTTCCCAATCCCAGATCCCAAACCCCAGTTCCCAATCCCTGACCCCAATTCCCAGTCCCCGACCCCAATTCCCATTTCCCAGTTCTCAGTCCCCATTTCCCAATCCCAATTCCCAGTCCCCAATTCCTAGTCCCAGTCCCAAACTCCAATTCCCAGTCCCCAAACCTCAAACCCCATTCCCATTTCCCCATACCTGTCCCAGTCCCCAGTTCCCAGTCCCAAACCCCAGTTCCCAATTCTCAATCACAATTCCCAGCCCCAGTCCAGGTACCTGTCCCAAACCCCATTCCTGTTTCCCATTTCCCTGTACCTGTCCCGGCTCCTCTCCCTCTCTCTCTCCATCCACACCTCCAGGTTCTTGGGGCGCCGCCGGCAACTGGGGACCCCCCTGCAGGGACGGGGTGGGGTGGGGGGGGTCAGACCCCCACAGACCCCTCGGACCCACGCAGACCCCTCCCAGAGCCCCCAGACCCATCTCGGAGCCCCCCAGACCCATCTCGGAGCCCCCAGACCGCTCCCGGAGCCCCCCAGACCCATCTCGGAGCCCCCCAGACCCCTCACCTGCTGCCCTCAGGGCTGTCACCTCTCGGGGTCTGGCTCTGCTGCTCCTGGGGGGGGGACAGAGGGGGGGTCAGGATTTGGGGAGGAAGCCCCAAAATTTTGGGAGGGGGATCAGAGATTTGGGGGGGTGACATCACCTCGGGCGAGGGCTCCTCCTCCAGCTGCTCCGGGTCACTGTCACCGACTGTGGGGACATGGGGGTGACAGGGGGGGTCCCCAAAAGGTGACAGAGGGTCCGGGGGGGGTTTTGGGGACCCCCTCCCCTCACCTGCCCCGCCGTGCATCTCCCTGTGCTGCCGGGACGGCTCCGAGGACTCATCCGAGCACTGAAACGGTGCCAAAGGGGGTGCAGGGTTGGGAACACCCCAAATCCCCCCGAAATTCCCCCAAAACGCCCCCAAATCCCACCTCGTTCCCCGACCAGCGCTTGCTGCCGCTGTCCACGCTGTGGAAGCCGGAGTCCAGCCCCCCTCGCTGCCGGAGGGGACACGGCTCGTCCGGGGGGCTGCGGGGAGGGGGCAAACAGCGCTCAGAGAGACCCCACAAACAGCGGGGCGACCCTCCCCGAGCCCCCCCTTTACCATGCGGGCACGGGATGGGCGGCAGCCTCGGCTTCCAGGTACTTGAAGATGTGGACTTTGCCCTTCAGGCAGATCTGGGGGCACAGAGCGCTCAGCCGCAGCTTTTGGGGGGTCGGGGGGCTCCCCGGGACCCTCCTCACCTGCGCAGGGGGGAACTGGAGCGGGTTGTTGTCCGCCAGGAGCGTCTGGAGGTGCCGCAGGCGGCGGAAGCAGCGCGGAATCGCCACCACCCGGTTGCAGGAGAAATCCAGGCGGACCAGGGGCAGCTCCGAGAGCTCTGCCGGGGGGACACGGGATGGAGGGGACCCCCAAAAGCGGCGGGACCCCCTCCCCAGGACCCTCACCCACCCTCGGGCAGCTCCGAGAGCTCTGCCGGGGGGACACGGGATGGAGGGGAGATCGAGGGGACCCCCCCAGGACCCTCACCCACCCTCGGGCAGCTCCGAGAGCTCTGCCGGGGGGACACGGGATGGAGGGGACCCCCAAAAGCGGCGGGACCCCCTCCCCAGGACCCCCTCCCCAGGACCCTCACCCTCGGGCAGCGCCGCCAGCTGGTTCCGCCGCACGTTGAGGTCCCGCAGCGCCCGCAGCTGCCCCAGCCCCGGCGGCAGCACCCGCAGCCGGTTACAGCCCACGTCCTGCGGGGCGAGACGGGGCTCAGCGGGGCCCGGCGCGGCCCCGCGGGGTCCCTCCGGCCCGGGCCAGGCTCACCAGCTGCCGCAGCGTGCGGAGGGCGCCCAGGTTCGGCGGTAGCCGGGCCAGGCGGTTGTTGCTGGCGTTGAGGACGCGGAGCGGCAGCAGGCACAGGCAGGCGGGCAGCGAGCTGAGCTGGTTGCGGCTGCGGAGGGGACACGGCGGGCTCAGGGGCACCGCTGGAGCCTCCCGGTCACACCGGCGGGGCTGGAGCGTACCTGAGGTCCAGGTGAGCCAGGGCCTGCAGGTTGGCGATGGCCGGGGGGACGCTGCGCAGGCAGTTGTGGTGCAGGCTCAGCCCTTCCAGAGACACCAGGCGGCAGGCGGCCTCCGGCACCTCCCCGAAACGGTTCCGGGACAGGTCTGGAGGGAGCCGGGGCAGCGTGTGGGACAGCGGAGGGGACCCGCAGCGACGGGACATTCCCGGGAATAGGGAACGACAGGGACAAGGCAGCCTCAGGAAGGGACTAATGGGGATAAAGGACGCCTCGGGATAAGGACAGGGGACGCAGATCCGCGGGGACAGCGGTGCTGATGGATCCCGAGCCGCCCGGCTGAAGCTCGGGGACGCTGAAGCCGCCGGACCGCCCGGACCGGGAGCTCCGGCTCGTCCCGTCCCGGCGCCTCCGGCAGCTCCCGCGGGCCTCGGGCTCCGGGACGCGCCGAGGGAGGCGGGGCAGCCGCAGCTTCCCCTGGGAAACACCCCGAGGGACCCGGGGCTGTGGGGAGGGGTCGGGGGTCCTGCCCTGGGGCCGCGGCCTCACCGGCCTGAGTGGTGTCGCTGAGGTCCCAGCGCCGCGCCGCCGCCGCCGGGAAGGCGCGCAGCCGCCGGCCGGCCAGGCTGAGGGTACCGGAAGCCTCTGCTTCTTCCAGGGCGCGCTCCGTGCCGGCTCCTCCGGGCAGGCGGCCCGGCAGCGGCGGCGGCTCAGCCGGGACAGCCCCCAGCGCCCCCGCCGCCATGGCGGACCCGGAGCTCCGCTCGCCGCGGCCGCCGCTGCCCGACTGAACCCCGGACGCTTCCGGACCCCGCCGCGGGGGCGGGGCCAGAGTGGCAGCCAGTCAGAGCAAGGGGCGCGCGGGGACGCGGCGAATCGGAGAGGGACAGTGGGGGGCGCTGCCTGGAGAAATGCGGAAGTTTGGTCTTTGATTGATAGGTAGGTTGAACAAATCGTCGTCAAGTGATGGGGGATGCTGCCCAACTGCAGCCAATCACAACTAAAGCACAATCTCCACCAATCGCGGGGAGCTCGTTGCCTGGCAACGGCAACGAAAATTTTGGCATCAGCCAATCGAAATAGAGGAGGCGGGAGCAGCGCCCGAGATTGACGTGGAGCCAACCAATCGCGTTTGACGCAAAAGCGGGATAATAAAAACCCTGCGCGTGGCCGGGGCGTGGCGGCTCCACCAATCAGGAGTTACGGCAATGATTGACAAGCAGGGAAGGCTTGGAGGCCACGCCCCGGCCCTTCAGCCCCGCCCACAGCTCCTCTTAAAGGAGCCGCACCTTTTAAAGGGGGGGATGTCCCCATTTTGAGGGTCCCCATTTTGAGGGTCCCACTTTCTGGGTCTCACTTTGGGGTCCAATTTTGAGGGTCCCATTTTGGGGGTCCCATTTTTAGGGTTCCATTTTGAGAGTCCCATTTTGAGGGTCCTATTTTGGGGCTCCCATTTTGAGGTCCCACTTTGAGAATTCCATTTTGGAGTCCCCATTTTGACGTCCCCCCTTTCATTGCGTCGCCCGGCCTCTCTGCCCCCAGACCCCTCACACACACGCTCCATCTCTGCACCCTTTATTACCGAATGCTCGGGGGGTACCCCCGCGGCCCGGGGCGGGGGTCTCAGGGCCGGGGTCCCTCAGGGGCTCCCCCGACACGGCCTCTTGCTGAGGTTGCCCAGCACCTGCTGCTGCTGCGGGCGGTAGGGCACCACGAAGGCGTCGGGCGGCAGCAGCGCCGCCCCGTCCGCGCCCAGCCGCCCCATCAGGACGTAGCTGGAGCCTGGAAGGGATTTGGGGAGGGGGCGTCAGGGCCGGGGGGCCCGAGCAGAGCCCCGCCGGCGCCTCCCGGGCACACGCACCTTTCTTGAGCGCGGGGCAGAGGCGGCAGGGCAGCAGCACCCGCAGCGAGGAGCCCTTAGCGGGCTGAGGCAGCCCCAGCGCCGCCGCCGCCTTGAACACGCCGAGCACGGAGAGCACGGCCCAGCCCGGCTCCTGCGGAGGGCCCCGCGACACCGACTTCACCGTCCCGGTCAGCACTGCAGGGACGGGAACGGGGTAAGAACCCTTAAGGCTCGGGGTTGGGGGTATGGGGGGGCCCGACCTCACTTTCCCCTCACGGTTCTGGGGAATTCTCCAGCGCCCGACCTCAGGTTCCCCTCACGGCTCTGAGGAATTCTCCAGAATTTTCTGGGTGCTCCCTGCCTCAGTTTCCCCGTCGTTTTTGAGGGATTCTTCAGACTCCCAGCCTCAGTTTCCCTTCATGGTTTTGAGGATTCTCCAGAACCCTCTGGGCACTCCCCGCGTCAATTTCCCCTCACAGATTTGGGGAGTTCTCCAGTGCCCGGCCTCAGGTTCCCCTCACGGTTCTGAGGAATTCTCCAGAACTTTTCGAGTGCTCCCTGCCTCAGTTTCCCTCACGGTTCTGGGGAATTCTCCAGACTCCCAGCCTCACTTTCCCCTCACAATTTTAGGGATTCTCCCCCCCCCATTTCGAGCTCTCCCCGCTGTGTTTTCGGGGTGTTTCTCACCGAAGTCGCTGCTGCAGAAGTTGCTCTGCAGGGTCCCGGCGCGGCGGCAGCGCTGAGGGCAGGGGGCGGCCGTGGGGACGGGCTCGGCCTTGGGGCCGGGGGGCGCCTTGGCCTTGGGGCCCCCGCGGGGCTTTGGGGCGGGGGTCTCGGGGGTCTCGCTGCCCCCCGCGGGGTCCCGCAGGGTGTAGGAGGCCGAGAAGCCGTCGGCGGTGACGCTCAGGTCGGACACGAACTGCACCAGCAGCTCCGGGGAGCTGGACACGATGGGGCTGGGGGATTTGGGGGGTCAGGGGGCTCAGGGGGATTTGGGGGGTCTCGGGTGGTTTGGGGGGTGCTCAGGGGGTCCCGGGTGCGTTTGGGGGGATTCCAGGTGGGTTTGGGGGGGTCCCAGGTGGGTTTATGGGGTGCTCAGGGGGTCCCGGTTGCTGTCAGGGGGGATTTGGGGGCATCAGGAGGGTTTAAGAAGGATCGGGGCAGTTTAGGGGGGGATCACACAGGGTTGAGGGGGTGCTCAGGGGGTCCCAGGTGGGCTTGGGGGGATGCTAGGTGGGTTTGGGGGGTGCTCAGAGGGTCCCAGGTGGGTTTGGGGGTGCTCAGGGGGTCCCAGGTAGGTCTGGGGGGTGCTCAGGGGGCCCCAGGTAGGTTTAGGGAGATGGTAGGTGGGTTTGGGGGGTGCTCAGAGGGTGCCAGGTAGGTTTGGGGGGTGCTCAGGGGGTCCCGGGTGGGTTTGGGGGGATCCTAGGTAGGTTTGGGGCGTGCTCAGGGGGTCCCGGGTGGGTTTGGGGGGATCCTAGGTAGGTTTGGGGGGTGCTCAGGGGGTCCCGGGTGGGTTTGGGGGGATCCTAGGTAGGTTTGGGGCGTGCTCAGGGGGTCCCGGTTGCTGTCAGGGGGGATTTGGGGGGGTTTAGGAGGGATCGGGGCAGTTTGGGGCGGGCCGGGGGGCTCGGCGCGGTCCGGGGGGGCTCGTGGGGAGGGGGCTCACCCGGGGGTCTCCTCCCCGCAGAAGCGGCCGAGGCGCCGCGCGTCGTCCCGCGCCCCCCCCTCGAACACGGCCACGTAATCGTAGCGGCAATGCGGGTCGGGCTCCACATCGAACTTCCCGAACCGCAGCTCCACCACCTGCACATCCCCCCCGACCCGGGACCCGTGCTGAGACCCCTCCCGGGTTCCCCCAGACCCTGTAGACCCGTCCCCAAATTCCCCCGAGCCTCCCCAGTCTCTGCTCAGCCTCCCGTGACATCCCATTGTGACCCCAAAAAAGAATTTCTGACCCCTCCCAAAGGATTTCTGACCCCCCCAAATTCCTCCTATCCCTCCCAAACCCCCCCCTTGAACACCCACAAATCCCTCCTGACCCCCCCAACCCCCAAATCTGAACCTCCCCTAATCCTCCTGACACCCCAAACGCCCCCCAAACCCCCCAGGACCCCCAGACCTTGCCGGGGGGCGCCACGATGTGCCAGGAGCAGCTGATCCCGGGTGGATAATTCTCCTCGGGCCAGTTCGGGGTGCTCAGGCTGCCCTGGGGCTTCTCCAGCCTCCCGCCACAAAACTGATGCTCTGGGGGGGTGGGGGTCGCGTTTTTGGGGGGCACAAACACCTTCGGACCCCCCTTCCCTCCCCACACCACCGGCGTCTCCTCTGTCCCTGAGACCCCCCTGAATTTTGGGGGAAATTTGGGGAGGGCTCCGCCAAAACCACCCTGGGACTGTTGAGGAGATGGAATCTGGGGAGTGAGACCCCCCCCCGGGAATGTTTTTTGTAAATTTTTTAATTCTTTAATTTTTGGGGGGGGGCGGGAGGGTCATACTCACCGTCAAAATAGTGCCAGGACTCCCCGAAAAATTGGGGTTTATTAAAGACCCCCGAGCGCCGCCGTCCCTGGGGGGGCCCTGCAAAAGGGTTGGGCTGGGTTGGGGGGGGCCTGGGGGGCTCCACGGCGCTTTTTGGGGTGGCTTTGAGTTTTTTTGGGGCGGTTTGGGATGTTCCATGCGGCTTTGGGGGGCCTCTGTATGGATTTGGGGTCTGGGTGGTTTAGGGGTCTCAGTGCTCCCTCCTTTCCCTCTCAGCTTTTCCCTCCCTTTTGTGCCATTTTTTTGTGCCAATAAATGAAGTTTCCTTCATTTTGTGCCATTTGTTTTTTTTTTTTTTGGCCAAAAAAATGAAGTTTCCTTCATTTTATCGTGACGTTTTGCTCCATTTTCCTCTCTGGCTTTTCTTCTCCAACTTCTTTCTTTTCACTCTTTTTTTCCCTCAGTTTTTAAATTTTTTTCTTTTCAGTTTTTCTCCCCTCATTTTTTCTATTACTTTTCTTCTTTTCCTTTCACACTTTCCTCTCCTTTTCTCCTCAGCTTTTCCCTCCTTTCCTCCCTTGCACTTTTCCCTCATTCCCCTGTTTTCTCCTCAAACTTTCCCCCCATTTCCTCTCTCCCCTTTTCAGTTTCTTCATCACACTTTTCCTTCCTTTCTCTTTTTTTTTTTCATTCTCTCACTTCACTCCCCAATTCCCCATCGGGGTTTTCCCTTTCTGTTTTCAGTTTCACACTTTTCCCTCCTTTTCCATTCACACTTTCTCCTCATTCCCACTGGTTTTTCCTCATTCCCGCTGTTTTATTTTTTCCTCATTCCCACTGTTTTCTGCTCATTCCCACTGTTGTTTTTTCCTCATTCCCACTGTTTTGTTTTCTCCTCATTCCCACTCTTCTTTTCTCATTCCTGCTGTTCTCTTTACTGGTGTTTTTTATTAAAACAGTGTTTTAATACAATAAAGTGTTTTAATAAATAAAGTGTCCTAGTATTCCTCATTTCACTGTCTTGTTTTCTCCTCATTCCCACTGTTCTCATTCCCGCTGTTGTTTTTTTCCTAATTCCCACCGTTTTTCCTCATTCCCATTATTTTCTGCTCATTCCTACTGTTTTTTTTCCTCATTGCCCTCTTCTGTCCTCATTCCCACTTTTTTCTCCAATGAAATTTCCCAATTTCTGTTTTTCCCTCTTTCCCATCTCTCTCCAGGGAGGCCTTTTGCCCTCTCACATCCCTCAGAATTTGGGGCTCTTTGTGGCACTTTTGGGGGCATTGCTGTGAGGTTTTGGGTGTGTCCACATTTCCAGGGTGGTTTTGGGGCGTCCCCCGGGCCTGTCCCTGCTCCCCGCCGGCGGTGCTCCCCGTTTCTGCCCCGGGGCTGTCCCCCGTTACCCACCGTGGCTCGGGGGGC